GTTGGGGCAATTCCTACTTCTGCCGGCGCCGTACCCATCAACACCGTCCCTCCGCCAGTCGGTACGACTCATCCTCATGGTACTACGATCCCAACACAAGTCCAGTACGACGATCATGAAGGTTTCTATGAGAATTCAGGTGAAGCGTATGGATCACAGACCGCCGAATTAGAGAAGAAGTTTAATGCTTTACAGGAGATGGTGAAGACATTGCAAGGCCCCGATGTTTTGGGACTGGATGCCGCTGAAATATGTCTTGTACCCGGAGTTAAGATACCTCCAAAGTTTGTAATTCCAACCTTTGAGAAGTACAAGGGTAACAGTTGTCCTAAGACCCACATAAGGTCTTACTGTAGGAAGATGGCCGCCTATTCTGATGACGAGAAGCTACTAATCCATTTCTTTCAAGATAGCTTAACAGAGGCATCCCTAGAATGGTATATGCACCTTGAACGATCCAACGTGAGAAGTTGGAAAGAGTTGGCAGACGCTTTCGTGAAACATTATCAGTATAATACTGACATGGCTCCGAATCGTATGCAGCTTCAGAATTTGACTCAGAAGCCGAATGAGTGTTTTAAGGACTTCGCGCAGAGATGGAGGGGAGTAGCTGCAAGGGTACAACCTCCACTGATGGAGAAAGAACTGACAGACCTATTCATGGGCACGCTACAAGGACCGATCTTTGAGCGGTTAGCATCCTCAACTTCCACGGTATTTTCTGAACTTGTTATGGCTGGAGAGAGATTAGAGAGTTTCATGAAGGCGGGAAAAATTCAGAATGCAGGCGGATCTGCAAGCGGGGTCAAGAAGCCTTATTAGGGTTTCGTTAAGAAAAGGGAAGGCGAAGCTAGTGCAGTGTTCACCAATGGAAGGAGAACTCACCAAGGTTATCACCACATTGCTGCCATCGCTCCACAGCAACCACTTTCTATTCCGGCAAATCAGCCTGCGCCTCAGCAAAATCGACAACAACAACCTTATCAACCAAGACAAAATCAGTATCAAGGACAGAGAAAGCCAGAAAGGAGGCTTGATCCAATTCCGTCCACTTACGCCAAATTGCTTCCCTTCTTGTTGAAAGCAGGTCTCGTTCAACTTAGGGAAATGAAAGATCCTCCGGCTGTTCTCCCCTATGGCTATGATGTAAATGCGAGATGTGAGTTCCACTCTGGCGCCCCAGGCCATAGCATCGAGAATTGTAAGGCTTTAAAATACATTGTGCAAAATCTTATCGACTCCAAAGCAATAAACTTTACCCGAAATACTCCGAACATCAAATCTAATCCAATGCCACCTCACCATTCAACAAACATGATTGAAGGCTCTAAGGGGATCCGATTAATTTCGGATATTGAGGAATTGAGGACCCCACTTTCCACTATTAAGGAGCAACTCTTGTCGAAAAACATTTACCCAGGATGTCCAACTGATTGCCATGTTTGCACGGACGGATCTCAAGGATGCGCTGAGCTGAAGAAGGGCATACAAGGTCTGATTGAGCAGGGTGTATTAGTAGCAGAACAACTATCAAAGATTGAGGAAATTGCTACTCTTGAAATTCCGTTCGAAACATTGGAGATACCATATGATGATGGATATGAGCTTTGGATCCCAGTTGACAATTCGAACCGCACACCATTGACCATACCGTGCGATGAGGAAGAATGGGACAACGTGTATGGACATACTTCTATCCCACTGCAAATCCCGTATGATCCAGTTAAGATACCTATGTCCCCACCATCAATGAACCAGCTTGTCATTTCGACCCCATCTCCATTTCCGTACGAAAGCACCAAAGCTGTACCTTGGTTATACGATGAAACTGCTTACGAATAGCTTTCCCAAGTGGATAAGGTGCTCTTCCTCAGTCTGGGATTTCGCAATCATATCGTCTACATAACACTCAATCTCTTTATGTATCATGTCATGGAAAAGAGTGACCATTGCTCGCTGATATGTTGCGCCTGCGTTCTTAAGTCCAAATGGCATAACCTTGTAACAGAAAGTTCCCCATGGAGTAATGAAAGAAAGATAATTACATCTTCCTCTGCCATCTTTTCTCAACGATATTAATTTATAATCTAATTAATATTAATATAATTAAAAAATATTCGTAAGCATAAAGTGATAATAAAATAAAATTATATTAATTTATAATGTAATTAAAAATACACGAACAAAAATATAAATATAATGAAAATTACAAAAAAAAAAAACCCTAATGATCGGCTCTATCCAAGTGACCACCGGTGCCACATTGGGGGGGAAGGCTATCGGGAAAATGTTGTTGTTCCCGTCTTGTGCCACAGCCATCAGAAGTGTGCCCTTATATTTCCCGTAAAGCCAGGTTCCGTCAATCTGAATTATAGGTTTACAAAATGCAAACCCTTTGATGCATGGTTTGAATGCCCAAAAGACTCTGTGGAAAATTCCATTGCCAGCAACATAACTCCCGTCTGGTGTACAAGCAGGCAACGTCTCCAATATCGCAACAGTTCTTGGAGAGTAGTGTTTAAGGGCTACTAGGAATTTAGGAAGTTCCTTGTATGACTCCTCCCAATTTCCAAACACCATTTCAACAGCTTTATTCCTGGCTATCCAGGCTTTTCGGTACGAAGGAGTGTAGTTGTACCTTTGTACCATATGCGCAATTATGGTACTCACCTTCAAAGATGGGTTGTCGCTGACGACTGATAGAATCTCATCACAAATCAACTTAGAGTTTAGTTTGCGATGGTCTTACATCGGATTCGAGATGATACAGCTGTGGGACGAACCCATTGACCCTATCTTCCAGGAATCGCTTCTCTTCCTGAAAGATGCTGTTAATTTGAACAGGCACTCCTCGTTACGGCAATAGATCATATACCGCGTTGGATTTGAGTGATCAACCCTGTAATCGGATGACAATTCCATGTGAAACTGTTTGATAGCCTGGACACAATCTTGTTTCGTACGAAACTCGTCGCCCTTTTTAAGTTGGCCCCGTGTTGTGTAGTTGGGGATGTAGAAAACATCCGTTGCGGGTTCATCATCAACTAAGGTGATATCAGTCATGTGATTTGGTGGACAATAGACATGCTCAGGTTGAACTTCATCCTCCGGATTGTTCACCATCTCGTCAACAATGACTTCAGTTGCTTCTTCTTCTTCGTCCACGACATTGACTTCGGGGTGTTCATCTTCACATGTGATCTGCATCCCTACATTAACCATGCAGGCCTACGAGCATCTGCTTTCATACATTAGACGGGACACTGCATTACAATAAATGCCATGTACCCTGTTTGATTAGACGCTACACTGAAGGAATCTGCATCCTTTTACCAAAAAGACACGGCATTTACGCATAGCTGAAGCCAAGTGCCAACCATGCACTCACACCACACATATGTCACGCCAAGTGCTCAGCATGCACCCACACAACACATATGTCACGCCAAGTGGTCAGCATGCACCCACACAACACATATGAAAAGGAAAATATATTATATCATTTTATTATCACTTTATGCTTACGAATATTTTTTAATTATATTAATATTAATTAGATTATAAATTAATATATTTTATGGTTAATAATAATTATAATTATAATTAAAAAACAATTAAATTTTAAGACTTTTAAATATGAAAAGGAAAATATATTATATCATATAAATACAATAAAAAAATAATCAAAAAAATATATTTGAAACCTTAAAAATATATTATAAATATGAAAAGGAAAATATATTATATCATATAAAAAATAATTAAAATCAAAATCAAAAAAATATAATCAAAAAACAATCAAATTTTAAACTTTAAATAATAATAATAATAATAAAAAAAATGATAATCAAAAAACAATCAAATTTTAAACTTTAAATAATAATAATAATAATAATAATAATAATAATAATAATAATAATAATAAATGATAAAAAAAACAATCAAATTTTAAACTTTAAATAATAATAATAATAATAATAATAATAATAATAATAATAATAATAATAATAATAATAATAATAATAATAAATACTGATAATAAAAAAACAATCAAATTTTAAATTTTAAATAATAATAATAATCAAAAAAATGAAAAACGAATTTGAAACCCTACAAATTAGCCTACAAATTAGCCTTATTTGCCAATTGAGAAGGCGAACTTGAAACCCTTAGCCTAATTCGCCAATTGATTTGGCGAAATGCTTGAATGAAGAATTGGCCCAATTCGCCAATTGGTTTGGCGAACGCATGTTGAAGCAAAACGAAACTTTGTCATTTTGGTAATATTTTTGAAAATATATTTTGTTTGGTAATTAAAAATTATAACTGTGTTAGTTTAAAAAAAAATTCTCCCATAGTAATAGGGTACCAGTTTTGCTTAGCACATGAAAATACTAATTCTGAAAATTAACACTCATTTAATTTGTCATTATTTATCATTTTATTAATTTATATCAATGTTCTCAGCTGCTTAATGACAAATTTATTCACTGTTATGCCCTAAAAAATCCAATATTTATGTAAGAAATACATCACACACCATTCTTATTTCAATAACAAAAGTTATATGAATGAAACCGGGAGAAACAATGCTTGCAACAAAGAAATTATTACAAGTTATAGTTATCATTCTTGTTCCAATAACAAAAATGTAACACAAACATTCTATATGTAAAACAATTTTTATCTTTATGAGAATTTTCTTTTCTTTTTGGGAAGTGATTATTAAACGTAAAAAGATTATGAATTTTGGGAAGTTTCAACCATTGAAGCACTACTGGATATTATAGTTTGTTTTGAACAAAGGAGGGACTACAGTTGGATAATTGAGTTTAATGGAGATGCAGTGTAAAAAAGATTTGTAATCATAAAGCCCGGTGATATGTAGAGCATCTTTTACATCGGTTGACATAATTAACAACAAACTTTTCTAATTTAACAACATAGTCCCAAACTTTGTCACATTATACAAAGGAGACATAACCTACAAACAAATAATGCTAATCAAAATGTTGTCTTAACTGCATCTCTGTTTCACTTTTCCAACTTGCATGAGATGATTGACCCCTCATCCTCTTAGATTTTTCCTTATCTTTAATAGTTGATCCTTTTTTCTTGGACTCTGCATTTGGATCCGGCGGAGGGCGATCACCACATACAGGGCAGACCATTCCACGAGCACTGGAGTAGGTCTTGGGAATTCCACACTGCAAGCACATTCTACAGAGAAAGTAAAGTACTCAGACTACAAGCAATAAAAAACAGAATCTACCCACAAACTAAATATTACTATTAGAGATTAATTTCCATACATGTCAATCAGCACACCGTAACCAGTGATCTTAGAAAGAAATTATGCATACCTCAAAAGCTCTGCAGCATCTTCAGCATTAGGATTTGTTGCAGTTGGCACCCGCTTAACAACTTCTGATGTGCTCAAGGCAGCTGGTGTTGCTGGTTGACCACCATTGATGTCACTTCTTACTCGTTCATGAATCCCAACTAGTTGAGCTTTTGCCTCTACTACAGCACCTATCAAAGATTTACCCATATCGACAAATATTACACATTCAAGTCAAGAAGAATGGAAATATGTACAATAACTTGCCATTGTTTCGTCAGGTTTAACCCAATAAGAATTAATTCTTCATAAAAAGTATTATACCTGCCCATTAGTTGTTTTCCTTAGTAAAAGGACATTTAAGATATCAGCAGCTTAAGCAACAAAAGCCATAAGCATTTTGTATGGAAAAGAAATACAATTTAAACTTGATGAACAGCTATGCGATTACGTAAATAAAAAATCAAGTGCATGAGCTTTTAAGCATCATAATAGATTTTATGAACTTAAACCCCAACACCATCCATGACCAAAATTTGAGGAGAGGTGGTCACACCAAACAAATAGCATAGCATATGGAAAACCTAATATGTATATTTTATACTACAGTAACTGATTCTGTGACTTATGTTATGATCAGTTACTGCAGTCTGCACCGACTTTAGAATCACAATATAAAATAAAACTAATTTACAAGTCTTCATTTAACAGATTAATTTTTACAATTCGTGATACATATAATAAGCACAACTTTCTTTCAGGAACAATTGCACGGCAGGAAACTATATCCGCTATTCATACACATTATTACCAAATTATCCCATAGTTATATCATGGGAACCTAATTAGTTTTAATACAAACCAAAACCAAGCATGGTAGGTAAACTTATTCAGGTAACAAATTGGCAATCAAGGGTAAAATAGCCAAAACTTTACATAGGTATCCATCTAGTTATTTATAGACCACAATAGATCTTTGAGAGCAAGACACCGGCAACCATAAAAAGCTTGTAACAAGAGTAATTGAAAGATCTGAAGGCAGACAGGCACGACAGTTCTTGAGAATGTAAAAATCCAACCCTAATTCTAAAATGCAGATCATATAAGTTCAGATATTGGACACAATAGTTTACTTCTAAGAAAAATTAACAAGAATTATATTAACGGTTCTTAAGGATTACATATTTGCTTTCAGATAAACTAATGTGAGGTTTACAGGGTAATAGCAACATACATACAGATAGAGATTACAGTATTACATAACATCCATAGTCCAAACCCTAAAACTGTTTGCATAAACCCTAAACGGTCTAATTTGCAGTTTATAGCATAATCATTAATGTATATGTATTGAAAATATAATAAGGATTGCTCATTAGTTGGTATATAAGTTTAGATAGCATATAACTCATATTGTTGACTTGTTTGTGTCTTCCTTTTTCATTTTTGTATCATTCCTACAATGATCAATAAAATATATTTGTAAGCTTTTCGTTCTTCTTTCCATGGATGCCATGCTTCTCAACATGGTGCCAAAGCATTGGTTTCCTCCTTGGTGTATAATTACGCTGCATTTTCTCAAGAAAATCCAACTTTCGGTTATTTCAAAATTTTCTTTTTCGCAGTTTCTAAACACTTGCCAAATTCCATTTGATCTTTGTTCTTGATTATTTTCGGATTTCTTGTTCACATTTATTGTTTACTTTGTGCTTTTGCCAAGTGGTTAAACTTTGACGTATAGTTTCTACTTGGTGGTCAAACTTTTGTCATATGGCTTATGATGTTTGATGTTGCTTCTGTCATGAAGGTTAAGCTTATATTGCCAACAAAAACGTAAAGTGACCCGGTCAAAACTTGATCATGCAGGACTTTCAAAATTGAAGAGAGGTGAAAATAATGAGATAAAAATAGGCAATATAACAGGTAAGTAATCAAATAGAGAATACATAGTAAATGACTGGGACAAAAAAGATATATGCACACATTCTTAAAAGCTGCCAAACATTCTTAGGTACCTATTTGGTCCGCCAAGGATGGGTTTGCGGTATTTAAAAAGGGGGATTTGAAGCTTAGTAAGGTATATTAATTCTAACTTTGTTGGGTGCAAATCAGATAGGAAAAACACTAGTGCCTTCTTTGGCATTTGGATGAGTGGGGTTCTTTGATTCTTTTGGAGATGATGTTGTAAAGAAACTGAGAGAAACTTAAAGGGACCCAAAAATTGGTGGAAGACTTCTAGAAACTATGCAATTCAACTGCTATCAATTTGGTTGTCATAAACTTTATACTTTTCATAAGAGACTCTTATTCATTTTTAGCTTATTTTTATAAGTTCTCTAAGATAACTTAAAAAAACAATAAGCTTATTCATAAAAACTTATGTTAATAAACACTAAGCTGCAAATAAATTGTTTATCTAAACATCACTAAGCATCCTCACGTAATCCAATCCAAAGAAGCTCATACCCAGAAACACAAAAGCATAGTTGAAATCAAATAAATAAATACAAGAAAAATGATAGAATACCTGTGGGTAAATCCTTCTTCTCCCTGCGATGCCTCCTTGAACCTCGTTGATCAGCCTCTTGTGCTGGATTGAACTCATCCACGCTATTGTTGAGGAATTGAGGTGGTCCTGGAATCTCAATTAGGAAAAATAAAAAGAAAGAAAAAAAACAAAGGTTCAATAACAAAGACGAACAAGATTCCAACTTTCACATGAGGAAAATAGAGAGGAAAAAAAATGATTTTTAGGGTTTATCAAAATTCAAACAAATTACTTCGGAGAAAGCGTCGAATGCAGAAGGAAGACCAGAAGCGGAAGGGGGTGGGGGAAGGTGGTCGAAGATGGATCTATCCCCCAAAGATGGATGGGCCGCGGCGGACGGCTCGCCTGCGTTTTCATTGGCGTATTCTTGCTCGTCGGAGTCGGAATCGTGGATGGGAGGTTGATGAGATTCATCTTCTTCAGCAGACGAATAACCTTGAATGAGAGACAAGCTCATTGTGACTGAACCCTATTACAGTACAGTACCACTTTCTCACTCTCCCAAACTCACCATATAACAAGGGTAACTATGTCATATCAACAACAAAAAAACTCAAAATAAATTTATGATCTATAATTTTAAATTATTTATAGAAAAGAAAAAAATTACTCTTGAAAATTGTGTCAGAAACAATGTGTATGTTGTTTGACTATTATTTGGTAGTAGTTCAATGGATTCTAGACTTTGCATCTCCTCTTGTAAAGATGGAGAATATTCGGGTTTGAATTCGATTTGTAAGACTTCACTTATTGTATTATGATAAAAGTGTTATTCTTGGTTTTACATTTGTTGTGGGTACTCTTGTTAAGGTAGATACTAACACCCTGAACGTATAGAGAGGAACATTTGTGAGAATTTGTGTGGAGACTAATCAGACCTATTTGGTTGTCGAAAAGTTCAATGTTAGTGATCATTAGTACAACGTGCAGTATGAACGCTTCACATTATTTGCTTCAATTGTGGTTGTTATGGACATCGCATGTGCGGTTGCAAGAATACGCTAGTTAAACTGACGCAACCGACCGTTCCTACAGTGGTGCAAAAAAAGAGTCAGTTATGGTCTAGGAAAATCTTTATCCAATAATGTGCCTATATATTTGGTGAGCTCTAAAATCTAAGGGATTGACGTTTCCTTAAAAGGAATAAGTTATGACATCAAAACTACCGAATCTAACAACATGACGTTGTTTTTAATTAGGGGTGGCAAGGTGGGCGGTCCGCCCCGTTTAGACCCGCCCCATTTAAGCACGTCCAAGAGTGGAGCGGGACAGACCAACTTAAGCGTCTGAGCTCAAAAGCCAAGTCCGCCCCGTTTTTTAACGAGTTGGCGGGTCGGCCCGCTAATTTTTTATTTTACAACTTGATTTACTACATAATTTTTATAAAAAAAAAAATTATTACTAAAGAGATCGACAAAAGATTTTTTTTAACAACACATAATAGAACTTCGACATGTCTTAAGTCCAAACAGTTCACAAAATAAAATAAATAAAGATCAATTACAACAAAAATAATAATAAAATAAACTCAAGCACAATAAAAAAAACGTACCAAAATAAATAAACAATACATATCATCCTAATCCTATTTAAAAACTAACTACTAAAAGAATCCAATTAAGAATTTACAAAAGACAAACAATGATAAAAATTACACAGTATAAAACATCACAGTGTAGAAAATAGTAGTACATCAAATATCAACACTTGACTTTCTCACTCTTTACATCATATAGACTTTTATTTTGACTGATTCCTTAATGGCTAAATCCTAAATTTGTAACATGTATACACTAATCAAATCCTTCATTTTCTTAAAATCAACATCTATTTCTAAAGAAAACATGTGAGTTAATATTTGACAACTTAATAATTCAGCAAGCCATACAATTGTTCTTTTATTTCAAGTTTTCCAATTAACACGTGTATTAGAAAGTTATAGACAAAACGTTACAGTTATAATTCAATTTGTTTGTATAATAATTTATAATATAATTCAATCAACATAATCATAATAGAAGAGTGTTATTTTTATAGTTAAAGTTGTTTTAATTTTAAGTAAGAAAATAAAATAGTTTTAACAAAAAGCTCGTGGGTAAAACCCGTCTCGCCCCGCTTTTCTAGTGGGTTAGGCGGGGCGGGCCAACTTAAAGTACCAAGCCGAAAACTTTTGTCCAGCCCGCCAAAAATGGCGGGTCAAATGGGCCGACCCAGCGGACCCAACCTATTTTGTCACCCCTATTTCTAATAAACGACAATTTGATAAGAGTGAATCCACCCCCAAACACACGTCAGACAGCACGGAGAGTTGGGATGCCAAAAAAATCCGTATCCACGGATATCCGCAAATAAAATCTGTCACGAATATGGGGCGGTAGCTTAATGTATATCCATTGATAAAATAAATGGATATTTAAATATTCGTTTGTTAATTGATATGGATGCGGATTCAATGATATATGTGCACACGGATATCCATATTCGTTAATAAATTATAAAAATCATTTAAATATAATTAGTTTGTTATACCTTATTTTTCATCTTCTAAAAAAATTAGTCTTGTATTTCTTTCTTGTTTTTGAATTTTCTTTGAAGAAAATCTTTCACATTTCATTCAAATTCTATTATCCATTTAATATTTAAACTCTTTAATACTTCATACCTAACTTCAACAATTTCACAGTTCAATCAACTAGTGTCGTCATTCCTCTATCGAAGCAGTGTCTCCCTTCCTACTCCTCTATCGCCCGTTCTTCCATCATAACTCACAATCACAATATATTTTATTTGTTTGGTTAAAAATGAAATGTATGGATATTATGTTTGGATCTAATTATAGTTTGATGAATAAGAAGAAAATTAATGTGATGAAATTTTATTGTTAAATTAAGAGTGAATGTATGGATGTTATGTGATAATAATTTTTTATGTCTTATTAAAAATATTTTTTTTCAAAAACTAATTTATATAAAAAAATATTATCCACATATATCTGAAAATATCTGCGTATACCGTAAAATCCGTGGATTACCCGCTTAACCTCACATGAATATGGGGCGAATATGAATATCATATTTATCCAACGGGATACAGATATCATAGTATTTATTCTCATGGATATCTATTTACATCCCTAACAAAGAGGGAACCATTGCTCCAAGACCAAGTCTTTCATTTTGGAACCACATCTTGTTATTAGTGGACCTCCGCACAAAACCGGGCCAACTTTAACTCATGCCCAACACAAAAGGTTGCTGCCACTACTAAATACATATGCATCGCTCTCATAGTAAATTTGGGTTTGGAGACCATCACATGATACATTATTTTGCATTCTGAACCGACAAGAAGTCATGTAGATGGAAATAACCAATGCGATATGGATGAGGGTGCTACTAAAAAAAAGGAAGTTGTTCGTGAAACTCCCTTTGAATGGGACCCGACTACGTAAATTGTCATGTGTCTGGGACTTGCTTTGTCACCTCCATCAACTAGACTAGTTATGTTAGGTTTCAAATAAGTCATTGTGCTCTCTTGGAATATCTAGGGAGCCTCTAATAATAAGGCTAAAAGGCACACGATGAATGTGATTAAAAAACACTTTCCAACGTTTTTAATTATTGTGGAAACACACATTGGTTTTTATAAGACTAAATCCTTATGGGATAGAGTTGGATATGTGAGTGTTCACTACATGGATGCACGTGGTCAATCTTGGGGCATTTAGATGCTAAATCAGAATGGTAGTAACATTGTAATTGTTGTGCGTGATGTCTTTATGGATACAATTGCTATCAAGTTATCATTGAGAACTTCCTCTTGGTATGTAATTAGAATTTATGTTAGTCCTGTGTACACTTCTCGTCTTGATATGTAGCTCCACTTCATTGATTGGAGGAACGTTGTTGATGGTCTTGGATATTAATTGGATACTTTAACAACATCATTCGTCTTGTTGAATAAAAAGATAGGTAATTTTAATCATTATATGGAAACTTCTTCTTTGGATGTCATTGATAAATGTAGTTTAGTTGAAATATACATGATTAGTGAGAAATTCACATGGAATAGGCTTTATAGTGGTTATCGAATGGTCTATTGCAAGCTGGATAAGGCCCTATTGATGTTGCTTGGTGCATGGTCTTCCTTGATGCATATGTTGAGGTATTATGTAAATTCCGTTATGGTCAAAACCTCATTTTTATTAGGCGTGACCTTCCACTTCAAGACCACGGACCGCATCCTTTTAGGTTGTAGGCAAATTAGATCACTCATTTAGAATACTCTAACACAATCCAGACTGCTTTGGGGAAATCCCCATATGGCATTGTAAATTGTCTCCAAAATATGCAACGCGGTTTTATCCTTTTAATAAGAAATTTTTTGGTAATAACAATAAACACGAGCATAACATTTAGAAGAGACTCAGGGGTATCCAACGTTCTTTGGAGAGAATATATTCGAAAATACTAGTTTATCTCCAATATGAGCTTCAACAGGAGTATCGTGAGATCCTTTCACAATAGGATATTCAAAGTAAAAATAAGCAAGAACGTTCGTTAATTTATGATAAAAAAACTTATAATTCCCTGTCCCTAGTTAAATACTAAGTTTGAACAATCATCCTATTTCAATTTCACAATGTTAGGGTCAATAATTTCTATGATCATAGGTTCAATTCATATGCTCGTTAACATGTATAGAGCTTTAAGAACAAAGATAATCAAATAGAAACTAGAACGTCAATTCAATAAAATAGTACAAAGTCATTTACATAGTTCAACAGATTGAATCAGCCTTGTCTAACAAAACCTAATCAAAAGTTATTTATCTACTCATGGTTAAATAATGAATTACCCTGAGTTTGGATGAATAATGAATGAAGCCAGCTCTTTAGCTTTGCTTGGGTCTATTGGTCTAGTGTTATTCGGTTAAATGTCATTTGTTTGTTGTCATGTCGTTAAAGGTCGAGGGCAGAACTTTGGGTTAGAGCTCGAAGGTTATATCCAATGAATGAAGGGCATCGATGCCACCAATCCCCAATTTGTGATCCCTTTTAAGCTCCAATATTGCATTGTCGCCCAATCCATTCTCTAAAATTTGGTACCCATGCAAAAATGCCTTTGTTTTCTTTTTAAAGCTGCCAAAATGTGTCAATTCACTCAACCATCATGACCATAATGTAAAGCATCGCGATCGCGATGAAAATCCATCGCGACCATGATAATTCCAGAGACCAAATTACATATTTTGCTTCTTTTTTTCTTCTAAGTCCATTTTTCTTCGTTTTATTTCTCTTCTTTCATTCTTCTCATTTCTTATTCATTTTAATTCATATTTTGCTCGAGAATATTTTGATTACATCAAATTTGATCATAATAATTAAGCAATGACAGAGTATCATCGGTGATCAAATAACTAATGAGTCGACAAATAATATAATTGGGCAACATGACA